TAGAGTACAGGTCATAGGTGCTGTTCTCCAGGTTGGTCGCCCTCTGCAGGCGGTAAAGAGCATTGTATTAAACATGTGGAAAACATCAGCTGTAGATACCAGCCCGGGATTAACATCTGCATTTTATTTTTTCTAAAAAGAATTATTCTTACGGTGCAGAGCAGGACTGCGTTCTCAGCGGGGTTGTACGACATGCTGAACACCGGGAACTTGGACCCACTAGGAGAAGAATTCATATCAAACGTCACGTTTCACCCACTTCTACCCAAATATTTCAACCAACACCTGTGAAGCGGGTCAGAAGCAGCCGACCGACCTGCGCAGCTGCATCACGGCCGTGTCCTTGCTGCTGTTGAAATCCAGCTGGCGGAGGAAGCGGTCCTTGACGTAGTACAGCATGTTGCCGTGCACGGCGTACGCCGGACGCTCGCGCTCCAGCTTGAACACGATCATGCCGCTGTCGTGACCTGGAGGACAGACGGACGTCTTTCGCTTGTAACGCAAAGTCACACGCAGAGCGCGTAAGGGAATTGGTAAAAATGTGTACGAGTGCCGAGCAGAGTCGCCTACCGGCAGCAAACAGGTTGAGGTTCGGGTGAGCACCGAGCACCCAGAAGCGATCGTGGTCCCGGCGGAAGGTCTGCACTCCGGTCCTCTTGGACATGTCCCACACCCGGATGCTCTTGTCCTCAGAGTTGGACAGGATGAGCTCCTGGCGCGGGTGGAAGACGGCACAGGACACGTTGTTGTAGTGACCGCGGCACGTATCCAGCTCCCACGCCTTGGATTCTGGAACGTGACAGAAAAAACAGAAAGCATAAATAAATGCATAGAATGTCAGGAGGGATTCAGCTCCAACGTGTGGGTGACCTCCATCGCATACCGTTCATTCTCCAGATCTTGACCTGCCTGTCGTCGGCTCCGGACACGATGAGCGGCATGGTGGGGTGGAAGGCGGCCCAGTTGACCCCCCGGTCGTGACCCTGCAGACAGACACAGTCAAGTTCCACTAATCTCAAACTAAAGTGTTGAGGCTACATTTTTTATAACTTTCATATAAAGGACACACCAAGGTTTCCAAAGTTAAAGGTAGATTCAGTCAAACGACAGCTGGAGACGTCATACATGTGAAACTGGCTGCTCACCTCAAGGACGTGCTTAACAACGGCATCAGAGGCGCCGAACAAGTCGACACCAGAGAGGCCGCGCACGTCCGTCTCCACGGCGCCGGGTGACAGGTTCTTCTTCCTCAGACCTGGAACCAACATTCAGGGCATCGCGTGCAAGGAAGGAGCCATGTTCACGTTACACAAGGCCCACCGAAATACAGGGGAGGAACAAACCGAGGTACAAATGCTTAAAATAATGAAATATTAAGCAATATAAAAAGGAGAGGGGCGGAGCTTAAATCATAAAGAAGGAGGGAGAACTGTTGGACCACTGAACACACACAAACAGCCAAAATACACCAAAACAAGCTTTGCTCTCTCAGTCCCTGACATCTTGAGTCTGTAAGCGGTTTTGATTTGGTTAATAAAAACACACACACACACACACACACAGAAGAAAAGTCAATCATGTAATGCTGGTTGATTTGCAGTGAAAGATACAGATTAGCTTTCAGACTCAAGTGAGATCAGAGACAAAAAACGAATGAGAAAACACAGCTTGCATTAATGATTCCTGCCGATGAAAGAGACGCGGTGAACAGATGGTTCAACAGCACCAGAGAGATGACAGGGGGGGGGGGGGGGGTATGTGCAGGTGTGGATGTTTCCAGGGAGAGCATGGGATAAGGAGGTCACAGGGAGTGCGCAGACCCGGCTGATGTGGGTGGATGGGTGGTGGTGGTGGTGGTGCTTTGCGTTGTATAAGACGTGCTCTGATGGGGCGTTGGATGACAGGAATACGAGAAGCTGTTTTTTAGTCTCATGCACGTTTCTGCACTGTAACATGCAGTTAATACAATGCAACTGAGTTATAGGTTAGGAATTAAGTTGGCTCAGAATTGGGAAACTTTTAGTACACAAATATAAACACTGTTGTATATTTACGGTTATATGTTGAGTAGTAAAGCTAGTCGTGCAAATGTCATGCCAGGAGGAGTCAAAATCAAATGGTTGAAGGTTTATAAGATAAATGCTTTCAAACTAGTTAGTTGTTATGGTTCATTTTCTTGATGCATTTTATATGAATGCAAAAATGGTAAAATAACAGGATGGGGAGAAGTAGTTCTTCCTATAATTAACGTAAGTAAGCCTCCCCTTTGAGTTAAATGGATGCCGTGAATGTAACATGGTGAGTCAAGCGTGCAATTTCTTCACCCCGCTATGATATGGGAGATAATAAAAGCTGAATGTATTAATGAAACCATGCTCTTTGCTAGAGAATGTAGACACAAATGTAACCCCAGGATAGAAGAGTTATGGGTCACATCATAAGCATTTTGACAGGTAAGAAAGTGAGAGTAGATGCAAGACAATTAATGGTTTAGTTAACGAGGAGAGAAGGAGGAAGCAGGAAATACAATAAACAAGCATAGATTAAGAGCATGCAGAGGCACAGAAACACCTCCCCTTTCCTTTTTTTCCCCACTACATTTTACTGTCTGACCGGTAAACTCTTTCAGGACAGCTTGGTTTAGAAATGGCACCCTAAAAATCCACTTATTTCCCTGTCAGACTTTCCTGGAAGGAGAGATGTTTCTGCAAACAGCCCATAGAGATTTGTCCTCTACAAGTAAGACAGGAAGAAGAGGTGGTACAGGACGTTAAATCTGTCCCATTCCTTCCTCGTTTCCTTCAAACCACTCTACCCTCCCACCCACCCCCCCGTCAACCCAGCCCGCTGTCCACTGCTCAGCCGTCCCCAGGCGCTCACCGGAGATATCCCACACTCGCACAGTCTGGTCCAGACTGGCCGACACCACCAGGTCCTCAGATGGGTGGAACTGGGCGCACATCACGTAGTGATTGTGGCCGGTCAGCACACTGCGGATGAGGAAGGAAAAGGGGAGTCAGAATTAGAGGACAGGAAATCTTTTCTTTGCGTGTAAAAAAAAAAAACTTCAATCGTTATGATGCCTTTTTTTTTTTTTTTAGAAACATTGGTTGGGTAGGTTGGTTGTTTGAAATGATGATGATATGAAGTCAAAGGCCCAACGTTTCAATATTTATAACTAAACAATAACTCATGTTATAAATTGTGTTTCTCTTTCTCTGCAACGTAAGTGTGTATTACCAGACGCAGGTCCTTGACTGCCAGTTCCAGATGCGAATAGTCTGATCATCTGAGGCGCTCAGAATCCAGGGGTACTCCTGCAGTAATGGAACTCATTTCAGATTTGCATGGACAGCAAGATAGAATATTTCTCACTCTGTACCTTAAAATCTGTTGTATTTTAAAGTATCAACACAACTCACATGGTGGAAGAAGGTAGTTCTGATGTAGTCAAGGTGTCCAAGGAGGGTGAAGAGGCAGCGCCTCAGTTTGTAGTTCCACACCTGAATAAAATAGGAATATTTACTCAGCATGTACATCATTTTGACATATTGTAATAATTACATGTAATAGGATGACATGATGCTTAATCCAAAATGCCAATAAACATCAGATCTCTCAGATCTGATTTAAACTTTTGATAGAATCCGCTTCACAATAAATAACTCAAGAAAGCATAAAATACAAACAAAACGCATCTTATTTGGTCAAATCAGTCTCACCTTGATTTTGTAATCATCTCCTCCAGACACAAACAGGGGCTGCTGCTTGTGGAAATCAATTCCTCTGACGGGACCTGCGGCCAAAAGAAACACACGAATTACATGAAACATCCGTGTGATAAATAAGACTTCATCGACCACACCGCTGCCTCACCATCGTGCTCGTCAAACTTGTCGATCAGTGTGCACATCCGATAGTCCCACAGCTGGATGACTCCGTTGTGCAAACTCGCCAGAACCCACGGCCTCTTGGGATGGAAACTCAGGCCTGAAATATATAAAACAGTTCATCAACACTATCGCACGGTGTCAATCAAAACATGTATATGAATATAATTATAGTCAATGGAAGGACGGCTTGCTTTATTTCCCACGTCTACACACACAGACGTTATTCACAAGCACAAGTTTAACGTTAGCTGTAAGTTAGCCAAGTTGAACTAGCTGAGACACGTAGCCTAGTTTGTGTTTTCGACAAAGCCACATTTAAACACAAGACATGACAAATAATTTCAATTAGTGATGTAGAATCGTGTAGAACACAATCAAATACCTTATTTATAGGCATAACGTGCATTAAGAATAATCAATAATTGATCGGGATAACGTCGACGAGCTATCGTTAGCGCTTAAGCTAACCGCCGCTGGAAGGATCTTACCTTTGACACGGGCCGACTTGGTTTCAAATTTTGTCAACATCGTCTTTTGATAACAACACAAGTCTTAATGTTGCGGAACGATGTAACTCTGCGGGAACAATAACAATAACTCGAATATTCCAGAAAGGTGAACTCGGGCTGTTAGTTCGCCGTCGCCCGTTCAGCCGAGCTGCCTGTTTCCTGACACGTAGCCCGCTTTGTCTTCCGGTTTTGAACAATAAAGTTGTGCGCGGAAGATTTGACGCAGAAAGCTCCACGACGGCGGCAGATAGATCCACAACACATAGAACCGAACTGACTGGTTATGCCATTACAGCTGATCTACACGGACTATTTCTACAGTCTGCTTCTATAGTTAAGGAAAATACAGGGTCCATTTCTCCAGCCGTTCTGGAGCTTTGGGCCAGCTTCACAGCACTTTTAGGACGTTTCGTCCATGTTTTGTCCCAGTAAATGAAAAACACTTTGGTCAAGTGTTTACCTATTTTGGATCCTACTTAAGCAATAAATACACATACAATAGTTAAGTATAAACTAACAACACTGCCTGAATGTTTATATTTTCACTTGCTAAAATTGCCAAAAGCTACTATGACTAATAATTCACAACATACACAAGTAGTTTGCATACCATTTTATTTCATATTTACAAAACAAGACGGTCAAATAGGAGAAGGCTTATCTTTTTTTTTTTTTTAACATTGCTGTGGGCATGTGTGCATCGGCCCTGAGTGTTGGATAGATCCCCCCCCCCCCCGGACCTCCACAGCAGCTTCCCCTCAGCCGCGTTTAGCCGCGTTTAGTGTAAATTCACCACTCGGCTGACTGAATCCTTTATTGAGCAGTAATTGCTGAGTCGACGGCCGTGTGACTTCTCGTCCTCTCTCTACGGTCACCGAGGTGCGATGAGTCCGCTGGTGAAAAGTGGCCCTGCTGGAGTAAACAAACCCACCGAGCAAAGCCAGCGTGTCATCAGGCCCCCGATGTTTCACCCAACAGTGCATCTGTATAAAGGTTTCCCCTCCTCGCGTGACACACCTCTGGAAAGAACACGATGTACTGTCAATGGAAGGTAAAGGACAAAAAGTACTCAGTGGTAAACGCCCCTGAATGTCTTTCCAAGCCGGGAGCAGACAAAACATCACTCTGCACATGACAAACACCGGGAATCACTTTGCACAGAAACTCTCACCACAGCAAAGGCAAACTGGAGTAATTATCTTAGAGGGGCTTTTTAAATCAGTTGTTTGAATTACAATCCCCGCTGGAAACGTCTCATGAGGTGTTCAATCCTCCAGGTTTTTTTTAGCATTTAAATAATTAACAAAATGTACATTACTTTTCTTCCCGTTTCCTTAAACGTTAATAATTAATTAACTCGTTGAGTTACAACCTGCACAGGAACAAAGGCTCGTTGTTAATGAAGTACCAAAGAATTATTGCTTACTTGGCGTGACAATGGGATGATATTGCAGAATTCACACCACTAAAACTATAATCTTAAGCGCTTAGTTGAATGACGGCAAAACCAATTCAACCAGGTCAATAATAATAACTTAGTCATTTTGCAAAGGCACTGTTAATACCTGTGAGGCGGTTTGATAGATTTCACCATGAGGCCAAACAGTTTAGTGAAAAAACAAACACGAAGAACAGCTGTGTTTTTTTCTTTTTACAGAAATGCTGTTAAAACTAAACCGTGAAGGACCGATACAGAAACGTTCCGCTGATTATAGACAGGAGACGGCGTGCTTGGCGTGTGTGTGTGTGTGCGCGGCCCCTAATGATTCTGCATCCACACACAGTCTCCCTGAGGGAGATCGGTGTCGAGCGCTCCGGTCGCCCTCCTGCCCGAACTTCGCCTCACAACCCCCCACCGCCCTCCCTGCTTGTCGCCGGCGCACACGGAGGGACCCGTCGGCCCCGGTGCTTCTGATTGGGCCGCACCGCCGCCTCATCACATGATGGAGCACTGCTCGCCGGCCCCGGGGCCTCCTGGGAGGTTGAGGGACTCCATGTCAAAGTTGAAGCCTGGAGGCTGAAAGACAGAGGAGCAGATGTTCAGATTTAGACTTTTTTGCATACTTTTCATAAGGTCCTCTGTTTGTAAAGTATTTCATTTGTTTAATTATTTTAGAAATGTTCCAATTCAAAACGTTGCTTTCTCCAAAAACTAATGAGAGTTCAGAATAAATAACCTTTTTTGTCAGGCTGCCTGCGGATACAGAGGCAGTTGCTATGGAACCGTGGTTGCTATGGAACCGTGGTTGCTATGGAACGCCCACGAGCAGCTAGCACATTTTCTCTTTTGCTCAGCGGAAACTTACCGCGTCGCCGGCGAGCTCTTTGGGCGGCTGGCCCAGGTCTTGAAGCTGCAAGTAAAAGCGTTATAATCCGTGAATGAGTTTCATTCGCTCTTCAAATTAAAGTAAACAACACAACCGCTTGTAAACGGTGCCCTCCCCTCCCCCACCGCTACCGGTAATGAACAGCAGGAACTATTTGAGCTGTGCCACTTTAATCAGTCACAGTAAAGGTTGATTGCTGATTAACAATCCAAATATTCAAGAATTCTTAAACTAAAGACATTGTAACATCTCAGCTTCATTAACATTCCATAAACCAAAAGGTCCGATGCGCGGCGTGTTTACCTTCTGCATCAGCTCCATGATGCTCTCGAACGTTCCTTCTTTATCTTCCGCCCCCTGTTCCTCGTTCTCAAAGCTCTTGCAGATTTCTCCCATGATGTTGGCCTGCTGCTCGTAGCGCTGGTAGTCCTCCGGGCTGAGGCTCGGCTTGTTGGCCTCCAACCACTCTGGGTACTGTGAGATGGTGAGACGTTGGTAAATCACGAGTGACCGGGAGTAACGGCCCTACGGACGTCAGCGATCAGCCGGGGACACAAATGCACACCTTGGCGGTGATCTCTTTGAGGGAGGGGTAGAGCACTTCTTTGGAGAGGAGATTCTGCATGATGGACTGCATGACCGGGAGGATGTTCCCGTCATCGCCGCCGCCTCCTCCTTCGCCCCCCTCCTCCAATCCCAGGCCTTCCAGCGCCTTGACCAGGTCGTCCCCGGCAAGCCCCGAGGACTGAGAGACAACACAAGCAATCGTCGGTAAACTCTTCCATGCCTGCGTCTCCATCGTCAGACTCGCAGCAATTGGTCCTTCGGGATTCACCCACCTGCAGGTTATCTGCATTTTTGGCGAGGCCACGCAGGGTGTCTTTAAGACAGGAAGTGAATTCTTGCTGGGAGGCGGTGTCGGTGCCTGCGCAGAATACACGGAACGTTTAGGCAACGGGAACTAGAATAAAAAAAAAACACAAGGAAGCAGTTTGTAGACCGTACCAACTTTGCCTGCAGCCTCGGACAGCTTATGGAAGTGCTGCAGTAACTCGGGCTCCTCGTGGGCCAACTCGCTCATGGCCTTCTCCCACTCCTCCCTGGCTTGGGTAGCCATGTCCCCCTCAAAGAGAGTCTCAAAGAGTTTGCTGTCTTCAAGCAGAGGGGGCTGCGAAGGTGAATAAAACACACGCAAAGTTCCATTGTATCAGACAACATTTTAAATACCGTAGTTTTTTGTTTATTTTTATACAAAATACAGCTTTACCATTGCTGACAATTTCTGTTAAACTGTTGGTTCTTTAGCCACAGTTACTGGCCCAGAAAACCATCGTTGCATCAGAGAAAGTCATCCCTGATGGGGCGGGACTTGAACTTTGTAAACGTTATGTTGCACAAGAGGCCGAATGCAACAACTTGACAGCAGCAAAGGTCGACTGGTTATAAAGATAGAGATAGAAAACAGACACGCAGAGGCTTCCATCTGTATCTGTCAAGAGTTTAACAAGAGGTGGATCCTAAGACGGCTTCGTCATTACAAGAAGAACAAACCTTCTCTGCACCGCTGGCGGCTGAGGCGGCGGCGGCAGGTTCGGGGGCTGGAGGGTCCGGTGTCTTGTCAAAGTCATCCAGCGCACCTTAAGGAGGAAGACAATGTTAGAAACAGCGTTTTACCAGTTTAAGCTGGTAAGGGACTGAAGCAGAAATCTCCAAACAGCTCCTGCAGTGAATTCCTGAAGATTTGTCTGATCTTGTGTTTTCCTCGGTAATGCTGCATAATGTGAACTTGCGTGTTTTAAGCGACACAACTGTCATCTTTAACACTATAAATACAGTTTGAACAACAGCTCTTTGATGTACTAAGTGATAGAAGATGAGTAGCTACCGATATTACAACTTTTCATAACGCAAAAGGACCATGAAACAGTCAGTTCAGGTTTAACAGGTACAACTATCGCAAACCAATAACAGTTTGTGGTGCTGTGGGAACCGTACTGTGTCATGCGAATATTCAGCTGGTCCGTTGTATTATAGCTGAAATATGTTAAACATTATGGTCTTAGTGTTGCCGTGCAAATAATAAGTCCCATGAAACGAAACCTCTAAAACAAAAAAAGGTTGAATGAACCTTTCACACAGTTTCACTGTCAATGATTTGACCTTGACAGCTTTAATGAGAGGTTCAGCTTGTTTGCAGGTCTATTTTATTAGACACTATTCATTTTAACAGAAGGTACCAAATAAACTGTAAATATAATATTTGACTGATGTAAACTGAGGCAGAAAAGATTTAATGATGAATGAAAGTTAAGTAGAATACTGTGGTTGTTTCTTAGTAAAACTATTATTATACTATAATAGTATTACTAAATACAGCCGACCACTACACAATTAACTAGTCATTAGTACTGAACATGTAAACACAGTCTCTAAAAAAGGGCTGAGACACATGAACATGTGCAACCAAACAACCGATTCATCATAAGCTATTCACTATGTTAAGATCATACTACATCCATAACAACAACACTTTGGTACATAAACAAACTCGTCAACACTTTACAAGCTTACAAACAAAACCTCGGTTTGTTAAAGCAAAAACAAATCAAGCTCGGACGCGTTTTAAAGGACAAACGAAGGAAGTTCTTCACGCTGCAGAGGAACAGCGACCCGGCTAAAGTCGGTCAATCAGGGTCACAGCTAGTGGAGTTAGCTAGCATTAGCAAAGTGCTGCACCGCAAAACAACTCGCACATGGGAGTTTTATTTGGTCGTTTTTGGATTCTAATAATAAAACAACGACCGGCCCGACCGTCAGTGATACATCCAGCTAATTATTAATGCAGTCTGAAGGACCCAAGCGGGAGGTCCCACCAAGCTAACTTAACCCCAGAGAGAGGGGGGGGGGTCTCGGCCCAATCACGGCCGTTCGAACGGCCGCAACAAACCGTCCTCACGTTGCTAAAGTCCGACTCGATGTCAAACGCTTACTGTCCAACAATTCGTCCAATTCCGCATCGTGTCCGCTGGACGAGTCCCCTGTTCCCGACGCCATGATGTTGCCTTCTGCAAACACCCACCGGGCAGCGCCGAGCGAGCGAGCGAGGTCTCCGGCAACTGACGTTTCTGTCGGGGAGGAAAAAATGTCGCAGAAACTACTACGTCATTCCCGAGGGCCTGTAACTGGAAGGTGGCGCCACCTGGTGGCGATGGAGGGAACGACGGGACCCGTCGTGGTTCACACCGGGGGAAGTGAAATAACAGTATTCCAAATATTAAAATGTTGTTGCAGTAGTAGACTTTTGTATTATATTCATCCAGTAAACGTCTCCAAAATGAAAGGCAATAGTCTGTCTAACTCACATTCTGCTCATTTAAATCCACACTGTGAATTGAATTGAACCGTGCAGGAAGCTGGAGGGCGAACATTCAAAACACTCTTTCCAGCTAAGTTCAATCGTGCCATTGTTTTTCCAACACATTATTTAGTAATTCATATGAATCACTTGCTAGTTAAAAGTAAATTCAGGTTTTTCATGAATGCGGTGTATATTTGAAACATAATGAACAGCTGTCCAAAAAACACACACACTAGAAATACATAAACAGGCCATGACGAATAATTAAAATCAAATCCCCAAATGGGCACCACATCAAAGACTTATAACCTAGTAAATAACTGCAACTTTATAAATCCACAAAGCTAGTGTAAACGGCAGTGGCGTCAGTACTTTGCCCTCAGTGATATGTAAATGACATTACTGAACTGTAGAGAGGATTTATGGAGGTTCAGTGGGCATGCAATGGTATTTAAGTGCTGTGCCAGGTGGGTCCGTCCCACACATCGCTCAGCCTTTTATCATCGGCTGCTCTGCTCACTCGTTGGTTTTTCACATCGTTAAAACAGCCTGTTGTAAATCCGAGGCTGTTTAATCCTCTGACTGTGTTTGCTCTCCCCTGACGGGATATTTATGACCTCATCCATCCTCCATCATCTCTGTGGGCTTCCTGATTCCTCAGCTGCAGCAGACGCTGTGAGCCTCACATCGCTTTTACTACCAATAGATCAATGCCTTCTTCTCAATAAAAGGGCCCTCAGCGTGTCTTGAGTGGCCGATAAGTAGATGGCGCTGTTGATGTGCAGCCGAGAGGCCTCGCTGTCTGTATTTATCTCATAAAACACAAGACGCATAAAGGCTCCATTACTGACAGAAAACAAACATCTGACATATTCAACACACCAAGGCAGAATGTTTATTTAGAATCTCCCATTAGCCCCCATGGATACTCCCAACACTGTTATCTTACCAGTCATTTGCTGAGCTCAGCTGCTGGATCCACTGGTCGGGGGCTCAGACTTCTGACAACGGGACAGACTGATTATATTGAGTAACCCAATGCTGCAATTTCAACTTCCCATGGCAAGTGAAATCAGAGCTCAGTGGAAAAGTGGGATTTCGGGTAGCCGGGGCCGACCTGAGGCAACGTCGGGGCAGAAAGAGCCGCCGGGCGAGAGAGAAGACGTCTGCAGCACACTGTCAGAAAATGCTGTCACATCGCTCACAGTCGTCAGGTGGAAATCTTGAGAAAAACATTTATTTTTTATTGAAATATTAAGAATTTTACAACAGTTAAGATTTGCAAGTACGAACATATGAAACTCAATCACAATCACGGCATCTCGTGAGCTCATCCCGCTCAGAGGCTTTTACAGAATTTTGTATTATTATTCAGTAAACAATCAAATATCATTTCTGTAAATTTTTATTTCTTAACATAAGGTTTTGAACTTACTGTTACTATGTTACTATGTAATATTTATGGCTTTCAAGTATAGTGAAATTAAAATACAGTAAAAAAGAAGATCAGCTAAAACACATATAAGGTCACCAACAGGTTGTTAAAACAGTTTTTTGCCCTAAGTTAAAAAATAAAATAAAATACAGAGGACTTGACCTCGGTCAACAGAAGCTGCGTTAGCAATGTCGTGTTATCTCTCTTTGCACAAAATAGAGGCATTGACTCATTTGTCTTCGGGGCATCAGTCAGAAAACTTTACAATGACGACGAATAAAGAATTAAGCTTTGATGGAAAATACCTTAAAAAAAACACCTGGAAAACACACCTGCGTTGTTTTCTGTGCCAGTTCCACACTCGTAAAGCTGCACCCGCTGCCTCCCTCTTTCTGCCCCTAACTGGCTCAACATAAAGGCCAAGCGTTGGTCTGAGTGGTCTTAGAAATCCTCCTCCAGGACGACCCTGACGTCCCGCGCTGCTCCTTTGTGTCTCCAGCGTCGTTCCGCAAAAAAAACGCTCCGCATCCCGACCCGCTGAAGCGGCACCGAAGAGATCTCGATCTTACACCACCTGCATTTGCGACTGACCGCCCTGACATTTTCCAACACGTGTGCGCATTTTGGTATGTGATGTAAAACTCTTCATCCCTGCAACACGTATAAATTTAGACTTCTCGCCCAAGCTTTACATTCCACACGTCATAATGAATTAAGCAGGACAACGGTATTAGTCACTGTGCAGAATCTACGCGCAGAAAAATCCTGCAAGCAGCGTGTCGTGTAACAAGCCAAAAAGGAAATGAGGTGAGGTAAAAGTTTGCTTGAGTTAGAAGGACTAAGCATTGAAGACAAGCGCCGTTCTTTGTTAATTGCACATCAGCGCTGCAACATTAAATACAATAAATGTCTTAAGTTTGTTCCGGAGTGGAAAAAAAAAAAAGTGGGCCTCTGTCTGAAAGCGTCACTGCGTTCCTCAGGTCCCACAGGAAAAGCTCCTGATTAAATCACTTCCTCTACGTTGTGATAGCGACGTGGTCGGACCGCTCTCTCTCTGTGCCGGCAGATCACACACAGCGTCTCTCTTTGGTGTGTTTAAAGGAGCAATTTGATATTTTGACGACATTTTGAGGCAAAGATTGATGCAACTTGTTTGTGAGTTCTGTGAGGAGCCAGAAACTGGATTGTTTTAGCGTAGCTTAGCATAAAGGCTATCCCCGTTTTGGTGTCATCTCAGTGTTCTCAGGGTTATATTTTCTTGATATAAAAAAAATTATACGGTGGAGACATCAATATGTAAAGAGAAAGACATAAAAAAAACTGATCTGTAGGTGAAAAGTTCAGACAACCAGAAAATAGTTGAAGCTCAGCGATACTGAGTAACTATTAGTGCTAGCTAAACTAGCATTAGCTCACCCTTCTGCAGTAGCTTTCTAATGGGATACGTCGTTAAGAGTTTCCAAATCATTCCAGTTTTTATGCTAAGCTAAGCTAACTGAGCAACAGCTCTGTAGTACTTAAAGCCTGTGAAGCTCAGTTTCAGAGGTCAAGTAACTGTATACAATTTTAACATTTAAGATTAAATAAAGAGTAACAATTTGAGTAAAAGAACATCCTTGTATATATATATATATATATATATATATATATATATATATATATATATACTGTAGTTTAAATCTAAATCTACATGAACTAAAACGGTAAAACAACCTCATTACTAACATTTAGGAGCAGATTAAGAAAAGAAATGATCTATTTGTCGTTCCTCCGACGCGGCGTCACGAGAGGCTGACGTCCTCGTACTCGCCGTGGTCCGAGTCCTCCAGCTCGATGCCCGGCACCAGGCTGTAGTACTCCGTCGACTGGGTCAGGTACGCCTTCTCCCTGTCGGCCGAGTCTTTCATCACCTCGGTCACGCTCACCGAGTCCAGGTCCGCCTTAGCGGGCGCGTCGGGGCCCCGGGCGCCGCGCTTCCCCTCCGCGGAGCCCGAACCGCCGGAGGACGGTCGCTGCGGTGGAAGGGACTCCACCGAGCCCAGCTTAATCTCCACCTCTTCGTAGATGTCCCTGGTGCTGCCCAGGAGGGTGGAGGCCGGGCGCAGCGGCAGCTGGTTCTTGGCGACGCCCTCGCCGCCGCAGCTCCCCGCCTTCTGCTTGCCGCGGTGCTTCTGGCCGTTGCAGCCGGCTCTCCTCTTTGAGCCGCTCACGGGCGCTTCTTTCCTCTTCCCCCCGCAGCACCAGCAGAGCACCAAGGCGGAGAGGACGAGGAGAGGCAGGGCGATGAAGAGCGCCGTGAGGCCGGCGGGGCGGCACGCGTCGCCGAGGCTCACCGACCGCACGGCCCGGCCGGCCAGGTGGCGGGGGGAGGCGCAGGTCAGGTTCCCCGACAGGTCCTGCGGCGCAGTGGTGCTGTTGACCCTCCTGCCTTCCTCCAGGCCTTGCAGAAACAAGCAGGAGCAGTCCCAGGGGTTTCCATCCAGCTCCAGCCTTTGCAGACCGGTCTTCTGCAGCAGAGAGCCCGGGAGGAGGCGCAGCCGGTTCTGCTGCAGACGCAGCGTCCGGAGGTTGTCCGAGCCCCGGAGAAAACCCTCGGGAAGTTCCCCGATCAGGTTCCCGCTCAGGTCCACCTCCGTCAGGTTGGGCTGGCCGGCCAGAAAGTCCCTCGGCAGCGCCGTCAGTCTGTTGTGAGCCAAGCGAACCCTCCGCAGGGCGGACGCGCCTCCGCCACCCGCGTGAACGTGACTGATGTTGCAGAAGGAGAGATCCAGCGTCTCCGCGTTGGTCCCGTTTGTGAGGACAGACCAGCGCACGTGGCTGAAAGAGGAGCCGGAGTAGTTCAAGCAGCAGACGTCGGCCGGAACCTGGGAGGGGAACTGGGGCAAAACCTCGGCGGCCGGACACGCACACCCGCCCGCGAGCCCCGTCTCCACCGCCAAGGTGAGAATCAGCAGGGCACCAAGCTGGCAAACCATCTCTGTGAGAGAAAAAAAACAAAACACAGACTTGCCGGTGCCGCGTTGCTACCACGAAGGCCCCGCGGCCCCGCCTCTCCCACGCGCCGCCTCACCTGCCTCCGGGTCTCTCTCAACTCTGGGAGGGATCCTCTCTGCGCAGACCGGCAGGGCCCGCAGCCCTAGCGACTCCTCGGAGGGCTCCCGGTTGCCGTGAGGATGGCGGGAGTCGGCATGGTGACGCGGCTCGCTCGGGATCAGGAGTCCAGGCTGCCGCAGAGGAAACAGATGCCGCCGCGGCGTTAATTGACGGATGAAAGTTGCGCAAACACATCACGCGGAAGCTGCAGCCAACAAGCAGGTTATCTGGTTTGTCTGGACCGGGAGGCCTATCAAGTCTGGTCTAGAATAAATAGTTGATCAGACTCCATTCAATGAGTTCCTTAAAGAATAAACTCGTTAACCAAAGTGCAGAGCAGCAACCGTTTGACGGGACAATGAAAAGGAACAAACATGCCCAAACGAGGTTATAGAAAGTCCTTAAATACTGTGAAGCTTCTTAATTCCACTGTAATTTCATGTAGAAGAAATTAAACCTGTACTTTAATCTCAGGTTTCGCTGAGAGGACCATGACGACTTTCGGGGAAAACCCTGCTATTGGACATATAAAAATAAACTAATTGCCGGTCACCTTCTAAAACTCCCGTGTACTCGGTGACGCCGCCTGAACATGAAAGAAAGAATGTGTGGTCGACTCAAGCAGAAGGCCTCCGTGAAGCCTGCAGAGGGAGCGACAGTGTGTGTGTGTGTGTGTGTGTGTGTGTGACGTTGGACTTCCTCACGCACGCACAACTCAGACAGCGGGGGACTCACGAGGACCGCGGCGGTCCGCCCGAGACCACGAGAACCCCCCCCCCCCAGCCACCAGGACGCCTCGCCACACCCGCTGGTGAGAAGCAGCTCCGGGGCGACCGAGGAACCAGGCATCATATTCGGGGGTCTTCTCCCCCGAGCAGACCTCGTCTACTCCCCCACAATGGAGATTTACTTCTTTTCTCGGTCTCCCATAAACGGGAAACTGAATGTCTTTCGACTGAAAGAACGGAGAATATAGTGAAACAAACGCAGGAAGTGAGCGTCAAAGGAAAGGAGGGTGATGTCATGTTTCCAAACAGGAGACTCTGCCTGAGTGCACGGGAGGATGAGAAGGTTTCCCACGTTTATTTAAACCGATCTGTGATTATTAAGCAAATGCCACCCAGTACATTTAAGTATTGCAGTTATGTACAATGAGGATGAAGTACGAAAGCGTTTCGAGCTACTTTTGCTTATTTTCTTTAGACCTGAGTACTTATTCCACCACTGCACGGTGACAGCAACGAGGATCCTTCAGATTAACGATGCAGTAATTTAAATAAACCAACCTTTCATCATCCGTGTTCAGACAGTACGTGAGACGGGTAACGTGTGAAACAAATCTGATTCCTCTGCCTCCTTTCAGTGCTCCAAGCTCTATTTACCAGATTCCGCCACGCCAGAAGAAAACAACCAATCCGAGCCGAGCAGCCTGTCATGCAGCTGCCAACCTCTGGAGTCTGGTCAAAAAGTCAAACTATGAACCAAGACCCTGTTTCTGCATTTCTCAGAGACATTTTGACCTTTGAGCTGTAAAATGGGGAATGTTTTTGAAAAGACTTGAGCCATCGGCAGAGGAAAACGCTTCTCGCTTTACGACACACTAAAATATGTTTCAGGAAACATTGGGGCAAAGCAGGAAGAGAAACTCGCTCTGTTTGAAGGTTGGATCGAAGCTACTGAGCAAAAGTGTGTTATTGTCCACCCGATGAATCTATGTCCAATATTCGCTCTCCTTTTAGCTCTGCTTTTGGTCTCCACCACCTCCAGAGGGAAATATCTGTCTCTTTAGCGGCCAAATGCTCCTCCAGAAAATGGAGAAAGGCAGTTCTTTCCTTCAGCGAGGCCTTGTCTGGTGAAATATATTAGTAGACCATTAAAAATCACTTGGGACGGGTGAACATGTGATCAAAAACAAAGGAATTTTCTGATTTGCACAGTTTACGTTTGCTTTTAATCTCCCAACTTTAATCCTCAAACTGTGAACTGAGCCTCCTGTTAGTGTCCGGCATCTCATATCATTTCATAATCATCTCTTATCATCTCGCTCCCTCATTATTTGCATGGCGCGCAGCAATGTAAGAAGCCTTTTGTTCTGTCAGATAGCCATCGCCGCGGGACATATTCAAAGCTCCCAGAGTCGACACCGTGCACAAGCAAAGGTTCGGATGAAGTAGGACGTTTGTATCTGTTGCCGGTTCCATGCGTTGACCACTGGAGATAAACTCCCATCTCAGCCTGATAACACCAGCATTCTAAAGGTAATCGAGTCAATTCCAATCTGACGGCGCAGCGAGATTTGCTCGTCTGAGTCGAGCCGGCACTCTGAACATTGACGTGGGAGTTGATCTTTGGATTTTGGAGACACTCAGTGAGCCTTCGGGTCTCTTCATGCAAACAGAGGGACCTCGGTCTGCTCTCCGGGTGTGAAGAGCCGGGCTTTCAATCTGGGGAAGGTGGGTGATCTCACTTTACAACAATGTGAGCTGCTGCACCCTCACTGGCTTCCTCTGGAGTAACGGTCTCCTCTCTTCTGTCCCGCATCAAAAACTGTCCTTATACATTAGAAATCAGGGCTGCAGCAGCGCAAAGGACGCAGGAGGGTATTTGGGGGAGTTTAGTTTCAGTTAACTGAATGTTTCGTTGTTTTAAAAGGCTAATTATTTCATTTTTTACAGTTAATATCATTGGAATGTAGTAAAATGAGGTAAAGACAAATAAAGAAATGATATCCAGGACTAATTTAATCAGAGTACAACTTTATACAACTATAACCTTTATAACTAATAACAGTTGATTTAATCGATACAAATTAGAAAAATGTTTAAGACAATTTTCCTGTTTATGTTTTTGAGGAAAGTTGCTACCATTATTTTGACCCCTGACCCCTAATCTGTCACCACAACATCCCAATTCCACGTTTAACTCCAACTACACCCCGCGTGGTTGATTAAAGCGTCTAATGATATGCAAAAACAAACAAAAACAAAGAGCCAAGCCACGCGGGCAGCTCAGCGGAGGATCAAAGCGTGTCGTCTTACCTGTGAGCGGCAGGTTCTCTGCCGTCCTCGCGCCGCGCGCCTCGCGTCCAGCGGCCCGCCGAACCTCTGCTCCTCCCCCGGGTCCCCGAGGGCGCGTCTCCCGCCGACAGCGGAATGTGGAAATACAGCCTTCACGGCGGGTGCGCGTGTGCGCGCACGCACGCGCACGCACAGGGAAGGGTGTTAATTCAGTTTTTTTTTCTTCTTTTTTTTTTTCTCACACCCGCTGTTCGGTTAAAAGTGCGTGTGAGGTTGCGTTTAGCGGCCGCAGCGCGCCCCCTGGCGGCCGAGCCCGCGCTCTCGCCACACCGCAGCACCGAGCACACGTCATTCACGCATTCATGTATATACTAGAAATGTGAATAATGGAGATTTTTATTATCAGCCAATTTTATTTTTATTTTTTTAAATTTATTTTGCATATTTTGAGTTTTTTTGTGCGACCAGCAGGTGGCAGTGTTAACCAGTACTGAACCCGCTCATCAACCGAAATTAAAGATGAACGTTCAATGAGATAATTGAGTTGTTTTTTTTATTATCGACTCATTTCAGATGCACTGTTCTGAGATTCTAAAATGTGAGGCTGTGCGACTTTTAATGCATGATAGCAAAGAAACATTTTTATAATCTGTCAAAAGGGGAAATCTAATTTCTAGCTCAGCGAAATTATAACGAGCGATTTGGGAGATTAATGGTTTGTGAACGTGAGCGTTAGTTAAGGGCCGTCAAATTGACAAACATATAGATTTATTTATTTAGATATAAAAGGCAGTTTTTTTTTACAGTATATACACTGTTCAATGACAAGAATAAGAAAATCTCTGAATTGCTACAAAATCAGTGTAAACATTTTTTCTGGTTTGTTCACGAGACAGAAAAGAGTGCAGAGAACTTCCTGTAAACACTGCACACCTCCCTCTCACTCAATACAACACTGATACAACAAACATGGAAAGGTACAGAAGAGACGGTAATAATAAAAACGGAGATTATGCTCCGGTCTTGATTGTTGTTAGATTATACATATTCAAAGCGTATTTGTCCATGAGACAAATCACAGACGATGCATTTTAGTGCAGTTTTTGTTGTTTTTGTGTGTCAGTTTTAAGTCCCAGGAGTCACCCACACTGATACACAACAGACTGTATGTGTGGAATATCTATATCTGTATATCTGTATATATATCTGTATGGTTTAGATGCTGATCGACATGCCTGATCGATCATAACATGATGTTTTGTCTCATAACTCCTTAAAATGAACCTGCTTTAAAGCCATTACGACATATTACATGCATCTATAAGCGTAATAGAGTTAAACCATTTGAGTGTTAGTGTCTTCTAATAATTCAGATGTTTCCTTTTAAAACTGTGTTTGTTTCTTCTTTGGTTTCTTCTTAACTGCCATTCCAAACAAACCGATATCTTTACGAGCGCATTATAAGATCCCATTCTGTCAAACAACATTGTGTTAACATTTCCTGGAGGCAGTATGAACCTCACTAGATATCAGTGTTTGAGCCGCGGAGCCAGATACATTTCAACAGATCGAACTAGCACATAAAAAGCTCACAGCTGCTTCCATCCAGACCACAAAGGCACATCGCTGAATTTGACATTTACAATACAACCAGATTTCCTCTCTGCCTTTAGCCAATTCCCGCTTTTCTTTGTACCGTTAATACTCCCGCCGACATACTTTATGTCCAGAACACCAGATAGTTGAATGAACAATATAGAGTTCGATTGTCTGACGCATTCTGCCCTCATGGAAACCAGGCGACTGCTGATTGGGGTTCGTTGGTTCTGGGAGGCCCATCACGAGTCCAGGTAGATGGAGTAGATCTGGTTGAGGCAGCGGTCGACGCCTCCCGCCTGGAAGAGGAAGCTGTCGTCGGAGCAGGGCGACATGGAGTAACCCCCCCCAGTCTGAGCCTGCAGCTCCTGCAGCAGGTCGAAGCCTGAAAGAAGAGCAATGCAAGGATCATTCAGAGGGTTAACGTGTGTTACTGTGTTTCCCTCCATGGAGATGAGTTATTGTGTGCAGTTAAACTACTGCAGAAGAAGAGGGGGCAACGAGATGATGTAATGAAAACAATCAAGAAAACAACTAACAAATCAACTTCTTGAGGAATGTTAAAGTCTCCTCGTTGATCCACAAAGATATTTTGAGGCCATTTTTCTCTCCAGTAGATGTTTAAGTCTCAGGGGGGAAAGAGTACGTTATGATTTATTATCAAAGTGTGTTTCTGTTATTTCTTCTCGCCTTTTGTTTTTATTCAACACACCGAAGCCAATATTTTACAGTTGTTTCCTCCATAAATGTTTCACTTTTTATTCTCAGGTTTTTATTTCAACAGCCTGAGCACAGAGACAAAAAAGAACCCGGAGAGAGAGAGAGAAGACCTCCCCGCCACCCATCCGGCCCAATCACAGCGCAGGGGCGCCCTCGCGCCGCCGTCTCACCTGTGGGGTAAGAGGCGGAGGAGGCCGCGAAGTAGCCGGCGGGTTCGAAGCCTCCGTCGCCGTCTGGTTGTCCCGCCTTCCCCTCTGCGTAGAGGCACCCTGGGAGAAAAGCACGGAGGGAACTTCAACCCAACAGCAGGGGGGGGAAAGAAAGCGGCGAGCGTCGCGCGGAGGTCGCGTACCTTGCTGCTGGGGGAACACCTGCTGGGGGTGGTAGGTCTTGTGGTATCCCTGCAGCTGGACGTCCGACGAGGAGCTCACTGGGCTGACGTCGGCGGACATGAACAGCGGCGTCGGCCCGTTTCTGTTGGCAACACAACGCCAACGCCATCATCAACATCTCTTACTTATTGGGTTTTTTTTTTCATTCGTGCGGGTAAACGGAGAGAAATCATCAATCTCGTTCCGCTTAGTTCAAACCCAGCGACAGGTTAAGACATTTATTTTTGTACTTATAGTTTAACACAAACACCTCTGACCCAATCAAAACCCCCTCGTGCCTCTTTACCGCGGCAGCAGCTGTGTTATTGCGCAAATACTTCAAACTCTTGTATAAGCAGCGGCGTTTACACAGGGAAGCGCTTCCACCTTGAGTGCGGGGAACGCAGTCGGGCTCCGTATCCATCGCTACGCTGCAAGAATGTGCTGACTGTGCACAAACACCCGTGACTCGACGCGGAACGAACGAGTCAGCGGAGCCAAGTGGACAAGAAGAGCGAGGACACATCTCTGCGAGGAGGTAAGTGTCTTCGCCCCCCACCCCCCCCTTCCAATGAGGTGATATGGTGATATGTCTCTCAGGCCTTGAAGATGTACGGGACCAGATCGGTCCCCAGAGAGACAAGTGGCCTTCGTTTCCTGCTGGAAGGGCTTCATAAACAGGCCGGGGCCTCGTCAGGGATGCCGATTGGCCGCCGGCCCAAAGCGCCGTCTATGTTTTCTATCTGACCAGCTACAATGAAAAGGAAATGTTTGGAGATTTCGCTACGTATCTGCCATTTACCATCCCCAGGTCTCTTTATTACCCATTTCCCATGTCAAATGCTATTACGTTTAATGTAACAGCCCACACAATAAAAGCCAAAAGTAATCAGAGGGCCTTTCTGAGACCCAAACTGATATAAGTTACAGATGGCTGCGGCCTCACGAGGTAATAAAGACCAGGCGTCCTACAGGAGAATGTAAACAAAGTGGGCTTTGATATCGAACGACCGTAGAAATGAATGCGGCATCACGACTCACGAGCCCCAAGAATGCTGCAAACCCCTCCGACGGCACTGACCTTACCTCGAAACTCACATTCTTGCGACGCTGCAACAACATAGCTGGGATGTCTGAGCCATGAGTCCCCCCCCCCCCCTCACTCGTCTGCGTCTGTCATCACAACCCTCCGCCAAACCCCTCCGCCGCCCTCCTCGGATCCCGGATGAGAGGAATCTTGCTCGGACACTAGAGCCCGCTTGTTGCATTCCGAGGAGACGACACACGTGATGTCGAAACATTTCTGTCCAACCGGCAATTTGGATCCGATGTCAGACGGGGGCCGCCGCCGCAGAGCGAACGTCATCGCTCCTCCTTTCCGCCACAGTTCGGATAATAAGTGTTTCTGTGCGAGTGCCGTCCCGGGCTGCCGACGGACGAGCCTCAATCCCTCAAGCATTAGATAATTAAAGAGAAGTCGAAAGGGCCCGTCGCCGCCAGACTAAACACGCGCCCGCCTATGAGGTCAGAGGCCGAAGCCGCGGAGCGCAGATGATTTACTCTCACGTCTCGTTAGGTCGTTTCGGGGGGGGGGGGGGGGGAAAGCAAACAAGCGGCGGTCTGGTGTTGCCCTTGGCAGCCCGGCGTCGTGCGCCGCCGTCACCTGTGGGATTCTACGACATCCTCGGTGTCCGTACGGAGACCGTCAATGGACGGATTGTGCGGCGCGTCATGGAAACGCTGAGGAGGATGGAGGACGAGGGATGGAGCGTTTGTATCACTCGGAGAATCAGAAAAATGTTACTCTGGCCCTCGCCGACATTTAATGGACGGCCTGAATTGTTGCGCTAATGAAAGTCAAACTCAACGGCCAATGATTTGAGGCCGTAGTGTCTCTTTTTGTCTACTTTTATACCGGGCTAGACAAACCTTGTCTCCGTTTACGCTGCACATGAGTTCTGTGGCCTGCGACTACACAATCGGCGCAGCCACACGCCCACAACTGCATCTCTGCTTTATTATCAATCCCCCCGGTTTCTGAGCTCCTGCCGCTTCACACAGAGAAAAGGAGGTTTGACATATTGAGGAAAGCTTAAGCTGCTTTAAAATGTTGCTCGTGCTTACCAGATATGTCAAACGAATGAAGGTTTTACGCAGAAGAGAAAAACTGCGGTCAGTTTCCCCTATTTTTATCTTTCGTGGAAAACGGCTCCGGATGAAAACTGCCAAATGCGAATTGAATCTCTTTCAGCTCCATTGTATCGGATTGGCAGCAGAGGTTCCTGCAGCCGATAACTCAGCAGGGGGAAGAAGGGAAAATGTTCTTTTCGTATTGGGTGACTTGGATGAACTGTCCATTTAAGTTTGTCCGTAGAAACATCATTTCCACGGCAGCAGCGAAAAAGGAACCAAAAGGATGTTTTTCTTAATGCCGACTCAATGAGACAAATAATGAACCCGGCGTGATGTTGACCGGCACTCCTGACCACCGGGAGCAGACGGCCACGTCCGCGTGTTCACTCGTCACTCAACAAGTACATAACTGATCTACCTGCGTTGATCTCCCACTCGCCCGTCTCTCATGCTCCCGGCGCTCGTCAGCGGCGCCGTGGGGCGGCTCCCCTCCAGGCCCCGGTACCCGGACGACGGGTCCGCTGATGGAGGCGGGAACCCGGGGGTTGCTCCGTCGTGGACGGAGCCGCAGTCCGAATACACACCTGGAAGGCGGAAAAAAGGTCAAGGTCAAGGTCGCTCCTTTGTGATTTGCGATTCCTTTATCAATTAATAGGCGAATATGAAGCGTCGTGAATTCATCACATTTGAATTATTACAATTACGCAGCTAACAAGAAACTTCTACAAGCAGCGTTTGCTTTTGGACGCACAGCTCCTCCTCGCTGCAAATAACCACGGCACGGGGAACATCGCTTAGCGGCGGCCTTCATTTAAAGAAGAGAGAAAGCCACTTGGCCCGATGACGACAGCCGGCGTCGCCATAAATCCGATATAGAGAGAAACGTTGGGCCGTTTCTGATAAGGAGAAAACCCTCTGAGGGCCTTTTCTCTTATTCAAAATGAAACACTGACATGCCTGTTTCACCCCGAATAAACAAAGCGGGTAGTGTTGCCGTTTGAGGCTTTTGCCTCAAAGTCTTCTGGGTAAAGCTGCGAGTAGTCTGAAGTAATAGACACGGACAGCTCTCCTGGACACTCTCCCCCTCTCCTGCCAAGTGAGCCTCAGCGTACCCGACAGCTTCTTGATCCCGGCTCAGCCATTGAAAGGGAAAGAAAAAGCGCTTGGCTGGAAAAGCAGGTTTGGAGAAGCTGAGGGACGAGCGGGGGGAGAGAGAGGGGGGGGGGGGGGGGGGGGGAGAGGGAGGGGAGAGCACGCCCGCGGTCGGTGCCCGGTAATTGGACAAGGTAAACACTGGCGTGATGAAGCCACCGTCGAAAGGAGCGGGGCGAGGAGGGAGGCGGGGCGGCGGCGGCGGCGGGGGGGGAGGGAGGGAACGGGAGCGAATGAGGCCACGGGAGGAGAAGGAGAGGCGGGTGTGTCTGGGCCTCGTCCCCCGGGGCCTCCGCCGGTGTGCGTCCGTACCTGCGTACTCGTCTAAGCCGGGCAGAGGGGAGCCGCTCCCTTGGTGCAGATGCTGCCTCGCCAGGCAGTCGCTCAGCGCGTCCGATTCCAGCATCGCGTGCACCTGCTGAACAAACCAAGCACAAGTTCACCGCCGCCGGTGCGTGGGTGTCAATTTTGGCGCATGCAGGGGGGGGGGGGTCGGGGAGTAATTATCTCTAAAAGCGGAATTGGACGATTTTCCACGCGCAGCTTCATTTGTTGAAGAACAAAGACGCTTGAACCAGAGGCCCGGTTTCGCGTTTCGTCCGGCGATCCAGCTCCTCGATATCCAGAGATCTTGTGAGGCAATCTTATCCCAAGATGTACTAACCAGGGTTGAAGCAGGACAATTTACTTCATCATCGTTAACAGAGGATCCCCCCCGGGGACCACAAGGCATCGGGAATAACTCGAAGGCCACCCGTGAACCACCAAACCGTCGTCATGGCGACGCTGACTTCGCCCGGGGGGGGGCGTGGAGGAAATGTACAACCAAGTGCATGTTTGGTATTAAAAGTCCTCTTCAGCTCCACAGGGTTCGACGCAGCGATGGGCGTGTCGGCCGTGTCACAACAGACACGCGCGCACACGTGTTTCTGTTTAAAGCACACGGGCACGCGCGCACGAGGCCGCGGTGTCCGTAGAGAACAAACAAGGCCCAGTCAGCGGCGAACAATAGGCTCCAGATTCGCGTGCGTACGTCCTTGTTTTTTCATAAACACGCCGACTCTTTTACGGATCTCCCAGAACCACGAGGCTCCTCGAGAGGAAGGAACCGCCTCGCACACCTTACGCGCTCCAACCTCGTCCTCCGATCGGGGGGGGGAACAAACTTCCACGTTTTCGGACGGAGCCAAAAAGGCGATAAGAGGCTAAATGTTGTTCTTCGTGTGCACTTGTGATTCTTACCGTTATCTTTGTTACTGATACTCTTGGCGTTCTGGATCTTCATTTATTGATATTGCATGTTTGCACTTTTTCCTTCTTTGTAAAGCAACACAATTATATTGAATAGAAATACAGTCTGTTATTATTTGACGATGCTTCTGCGCCTCAAATATCAGTTTGGGATATTGAAGTTTTTAAAACGTGTATCTATCTTTCACAGTCGTGAATTGTGGTTTTTAAGTTTAATGTTATTCTTGAGTAAAAAGTCAGCATTTTTGCATCATTTTAAAACTGCACAGAAACCAACATTACAAAGATTAGGGTTAACCACTAGACGGACACGCAGCGCATTTGAATGCAAAATCAAATTCCAATGTAAGTTAACGGAATTTGTCTGCTTTTGAGGTCAAGGAGGTTATAAGGAAATCGCATATGGAGGCTCTGCGGTCGCTGGCTGACCACGTAGCCGCCAAGCCACTGGTCCCAGTCCAGCGGTTTGCTTTGGTCGTATATCAATCTCCAATTTCTGTCCAATGAAAACTTGATGAATCCCACAAGTAGCAATAACCCGTTTTATTGATCGCCGGCCCCATCTGATCCAACCTAATGCGTCTTTCAGAAACACAGCAGGGTTTTATGAAATCCGTCGGCGACCAGAGCAGCAAACCCCCTAAATGTCCAACACGTGAGAAGATGATTGCAGTGGTTACCTGGACCTCCCTCTCCTGAAGGCCTTTGGCCGAGTGAGCCTTGACGTGCTTTCGTAACGAGCTGGGGTCCGTGTACCGCTTGGTGCATCCTGGGATCTGACAGGCGTACGGCTTCTGCGGGCGAAACCGCCATCCCGCCGAGTCAGAGGTGGAAAAGAAGAAAAAAAAAGAGGGAGAAGGAGAGAAAACTGTGAGGGGATCGAGAAGGCAACGCTTCAGAATACTCGTGCCAGACACTTAACACGACACCGAATGCCCACGTAGACCCCCCCGAAATACGCGAAAGGTCATTCGCTTATTTCAGGTTGACGGCGGAAGAAGCGCTCAGATTTCTCATTTAGGAATGTGTGCTTAGTTTCTTCCCGCCAACGGACAAAAAGGTGCCGACTTCGGGTAATCACACAAATACCGGACTTTGTGAATCAGGCCCCGACATCCACCGCCGTCACGAACGGCAGTAGAATTTTAATTGAGTCACGTCCAGATGGTTTACAGATGTGCAGTAGTCCTACACAAACGCGTAGGACCAACGCGGCATTTGCACCAACGGAGACGGAGAGGACACGAAGACGAACTCGGAGGGAATATTTACCGTCCGTCTGCAGGCTCGAAGGGAGGGAGAGAGAGAAGAGTTAAGCCCGCACACGATTCCTCCCGCTCAACTCATTCGGCGATCAACTAAACGTCAGATAATCACACCTGCAATCACTGTGGAAACAAAGGACGATTGATTCCAGCAGACGGTTCGTGGATGGAGGAAACCTTTCAGGGCAGTCGAGTCGCAGTTTACATCCACGTCCGTCCAAGATGTCATCACTTCATCGTTACGTCCCATCGGATTCTTGTTAGAACGTTATGATTTGCGTGTTATTCTTGCTTTAATGCCAAAAGTGTGTTTAGTGAGGTCACGGTGACCTTTGGCCGCTTCCAGCGACCTTAATTCATTACAGTTGTTTTGCCATTAATGAAACTTTCACCAGGTGGAGCGAATTAAGTTCTTCGCGAAGAGACACACACGTGTACATCATCAAGTTGAATTAATGGAAGAAACCTTTCTGACATCCAGAGAGTTGGCAGGCTTTTTAAACGGCACAAACCCGGAACTCTTTTGAAAAGGGAAAAGCAGCTCTCTTGACAAACGTACGGTCAAGGAATAAAAATAAAACCCAAACTGCATTTCTATGAAAAGGGACGACATGAGCAAAGGTGTAGCACTCGTTTAAAGGCAGAAACGAATACGTGTGCAGATGTGACTCCGCGTGCTGCCAAACATGGAGCCACATCTTTCTCTAAGAAACCAGTTTGTGAATAATATTCCCCCGGAGGCTAAAAAGGATAATGAAGTGTTAAACTCCGTGTTTGCACAGCGTTTGTCAGCTGCTTAAAACGAGGACGTGAATGAGCGAACACACGTGTCGGTGTGCGAGGGTTAACGTTCCCCTTTTTGACTGAAATGCGAGTCGCCGACGTCACAAAGAGAACAACTCAACTCAATATTCAGAGTTTTGCTGTTTTTTCTGGATCCGCCTTTGATTTCAACATTTGCCGAAGCCGAAGTCTTTAAAACACGGCAGGTAACAGAAACTAAGCAGGGTAAGTGAGGTGAGCATTTTCAGTCGAGACACGTTTGCATGAGACGCCTCATTTTGGAAACAAATATCTGGTAACACAGTAGTATTTATATCATTAGTAACACAATACAAGACATCCAGTCCAAGTTGAAAAAACTTGTATTGACACCAGTCTTTTCTCGGCTGGTTGTTGCACTATATTCAGCAATTATTTACATTCAGACAGTTCTGGGACACATCTGGGGGGGGAGGAGGGGGGGGGGGGCTCAGTGATGGCGCCAGATGTGTCTGATCCTTGATTTGTGGCGCAAGACGCGAAAGCCGCTATTAGCCAGCGTGAAACCGCAAAAGGGAGAGAATAACTTTCTCCTTCTGTTGCAATAACACGAGAGCGCAACGCGCGGCTCGCTCTCACCCGTGAAATAAGAGATCTGATTTCGCCGGATTACCGCTAAGTCTTCGTCCCTTGTCAGCAGGAGTAAAAATAACTGTGGTTTACAGAGTAATTCCACAGCAGGTATGTAGTTTCGCGATCCCAGAGAATGTTCCGTGCACGCGGGAGGGACGGAGTGGCACTTCGGGTGAAGACGACCCCTGATTGCAAACTAACACCACATGCGCACACGTCACGTAGGTGTTCCGCAAGGTCGAAACACGGCACCTGCATTACCCACAGTGCAACGCAACCGCTGACAACGCATCGCTAACAGGAACACATTACTGCAGCTGTCAGGTACATAAAGTTCAATGTTTACAACATTATTAGGAATACAAGAAGCTGAAAGTTGTACTGAGCACAGTACTTACTTACTTACTTTCCCCCCACGTTAAAAGGACCAAATAGGAAAGAGTCGCAACACTTGCACGACATGTTTTGTTACCTTGTGCACGCGAGGGAGCAGCGGCTAGTTTGCGTTTCGAAGAAACGAGTCTCCTCGGGGGTTCCTCTCATGTTGCATCAGTGGTGGATTTCATAACATCTTTTGGCACAGAATCCTTAACTCGTCAATCGCGCCCCCCCCCCCACCACTCCCCCCGGTTGATACCTTCTCCCATCCGTGTCATGATTTACGGCTGTGACGGTGGAGAAATCGGCTGCCTGGGTTATTGTGATATTCCCCCACCAGCAGTTGACATAAATAACCAGTAACGTATCATCAATGCAAGTATAAAAAGGTGGAGACAACTTGAAATCCGCTCCCAGGTCCCAGGACGAGGTGCTTTTTAAATGCGGCGTGCGATCTGTGAGGTCACTGACCGTGTCCAGATGTGTGCGCTGGTGTTTGGCCCGGTCGCTGGAGTTGCTGAAGGCTTTGAGGCATCCAGGGTGCTGGCAGATGTAGGGTTTCTCTCCCGTGTGGCTCCTCAGGTGGATCTTCAGGTTCTCCAGGCGGGAGAAGGCCTTGCAGCAGCCCTCGAACTGACGAGCACAACGCGGAACAAACACCGGTGACGTCATATTTAATATAACACAGTCGATAAAGCACAAAGAAACCAACTGACAACTTAACGCCGGGGCCTCCAGCGGGATGGATACACATTTTACTGTGTTTATAACTTTATAAAGGTTTGACACATATTTGATACACAGTGATGAATGGGAGTACACGCAGCCTGAACCTCATTGGGACGTTTAAGTCTTTTATATTCACAGAGCTGCCGGTATAAATCATCCATTAAACTCGCTTGCGGTGACAAAACAGATTTAAGTTCTTTTTGAAAATGGTCATCCCCTCCTACAAATTACAGTATATACAAATCCCGTGTACCTTTTAAATGTAGGTCTCGTGATAAAAACCCCTTTCTCGCATGACAGATGAGTGATGTTCAAGTCTCGTCCAACAAAAACGACTTGCAGCGCGGCGATAGATCCCATCGTAAATTCATACATTTGGGGTTATTGAATCATAAACTTCAGGTAATGGGCTGTTTCCCAAAAAGCAAGTTGGAACAGGACCACGAGGAGGACACACACACACACACACACACACACACACACACACACACACACACATGCTACAAACTGCACTCCGTCAGCTGTTAACTGACAGAATAGAAACTGTCTCACATTCAATCTAAAAAGACTGAAAATCATGAATACTGTTGATTCTTTCAAGTCCAAATTAAAAAAATTCTGATCAAAACCTTCTGGATTTTGCTCGAGTTAGCGAGAACATTCCAAAGAAAAAGAAATGAAAGGATGATTTTAAATGATTATAAACTATTTGGCGGAATCAACACATTTGGAATGTGTTCAATGTTTTAATGTCTGTTTATATAAAAGACCAACAAGAGGAAAAACAAATGTGCTTACGAGGTAAATTAAAATAATGAAGTGAGGGTTTTCTTTCCGAAAAGGATTAAACTGTTTAGCAATAAGCTCCACGTTCCGACGCTTGAAGTCAAATACAAGAAAACAGCGTTTCATGGCACTAATCCGGGTGTGTATGGAAACGTTCTTTTCCTTCCCCATGATCATTCCGGGGGGCTTTTATAAGGTCTCGCTAATGAGTCACTAAATGTCAGTGACCTCGTTTACTTTAATAAGTCCGTGCATAAAAAAATACTACATCGGGGTGAAATTAAACCAAGACTTGAAATCGTTTTCACAAAAAACAAAAACAGGAATTAAAAGACTCATAAAAAATAAAAAAAAACGGGCCGATGAAAGTATATAAAATATATATTAAAAAGTCAGGCACGTCACGTGAGCGGAGCTGACGAACTTGAAAGGAGAAAAGATTCATTGCCCTTTTATTCTGGTTTGTTGATTCAACGCAGCAGTAACAACATTGTTTGTCCCCCGACAAAGAAACAGATTCATGAATTCTTTGAGGGAATAAAAGTCAGAGCACAACTTTATCAAAGTTCTGATACGGTTTGTGTGCGTTTTAAAGACTTCGTCATCAAAACAACAATAACAAAATAAAATGAACGCGTGTACGTGAAAGATGAAACGGCATCCAAAGGTCCAAATCGATGACGTCGGCACTTTCTGACTTCCTGCCGGAGGATCCGAGTCCTCTCCGGCTCGTCCGTCTCCTTCTCATTGATGGAAATAAATGTTTGATCTGAGACGTCAATGAAGATATTCATCATGTTTGACTAAGGAGACCTAAAGGCATCTACACATGAAGGACACGTCTTTGCCATCTATTGTGGGTTGTAAAGAGCGTTAGCAGCTGGTGTTTACAGTCTGAGTAACACTTGTCTGATCCGGGACATAACGAGCTGCTAAATGAGGCTGAATTCATTCAAACACACTGAGCACATTCATATGAGAGATCCACTTTTCCATTGCTGCACGACGAATGACTTAATTTACATTATTTGGCGTGAGCGCCTTACCAAAATAAAATGACGTTATTTGCGTTGTGAAGTGTGACTTTTTTTGCGTGTGTTGCTGTTGATTTAACTTTATTAATCTGGGGGCCGGCGACTCTTTAAATATATTTAAAATCTGGCAGCGGATCAGCTCATTCAATGAGCTAATTCACTTAAGCAGTGAGGGGTTTTTTAATTAATAATTAATGGGGTCTCGGGTCGCTGGGGAAGAAATGAGAGAATTACTCAGCTCTCTTCTCAACGCGTTCAGGAAAAACCCTCAAAGGCCCCGAAGGCCTCAGAGGCCTCAGGGGCCTCAGAGGCCTCAGGGGCCTCAGGGGCCTCAGAGGCCTCAGGGGCCTCAGGGGCCCATGTCGTCAGGGTGAATGCAGAAACCTCACACTGGTCTGGTTTTGTCTTCCTCTTTGTCGTTGGTCATCACCTTAACTTTCATTAACTACTTTAGTTAACTACTAATAGTTTCTGCCCTGAGAACGCCGGTGCTTGCCGTTACCGTGGCGACCACGGGTTGAACCACACGGTAATCAGCAAGTTCTTCGGATGCTCACTGGAACAGACACAACCTCCATTCATTCGACGCCGCCACGGTTTCGCCCCCCCCCCCCCACAATATTCACACTTAAATACACTGAATTTGAATGAATGCCTCAAATTTGATTTGGTCGTGTATTTTTTTTTTACAAAATGTGTATTTTAAGTATTTTTTTTACTTTTACTGCTTACAGCTCAATCCTGTCCCACTACAAATGCATGTGTTGTCACTCCCATTCCTGCTATTTGCATGTGCGCCGGTGTGTGTGTGTGTGTGTGTGTGTGCGGGTGTGTGTGTTTGTGTGTGGGCTCGACAGCATCTCGTGGTCCGGTAAACTCGGTAAACTCCTCAGTTATTGAAAATAGGTCAAAACCTCGCAGGATGAATTATTTCTAAATATTGTTTCCCGAACAAACATCACGTACGATTACGTTAAAAATGAACAAATGGGATTTTTCTGCATGTCTTTTGAAGAAACCTCTTACTGAGCAACAATGACTTTATTTATCTGTTTTTATGTGTGAATTGCTGTGAAATTACAACGTTAACGTATCCGTTTTATCGGGCTGAACGCACCCCCCCCCCTCTCACCATGCACTTGTTGGGTTTCTCTCCAGAGTGGACCCTCATGTGGATGAGCAGCTTGTAGCGGGCGTTGAAGGGCTTGTGGCGCCGCACGCAGCCGGCCCAGAAGCAGGAGAACTCCTCCCCTTTGCGCTGGTCGATGTGCACCTTCTCGATGTGCCTCACCAGCTCCTCCTGGCTGCCGTAGGCGGCGCTGCAGTCGATCCAGTGGCACGGCTGGTCCCGCTGGTCCGCGCTGGGGTCCCGGCCCGCGGGCCCGCCGGGCCTCGGGAACTGAAGCGGGAACAGCGCCGCCTGCTGGCTGCCGGATTGAAACGGCTCGCCCTCGCATGGCGAGAAGTCGTCGGCGGGCTCCCGTTTCACCGGGTTGAACTCCGCCTGCATCTTGCTCTGGAGGTGAGGGGTCTTGCCGCCGCCGGGCGCATCGCAAACGGGGAGAGAGGATGCAAAAAATAAAGACGAGGACGAGGCGGAGGAGGAGAGAGAGGAGGGCGGGGAGGCGAAAGGGGGCGATGTGGCACAGCCGGTGAGCAGGTAGGGTAGAGGGAGGGACCTGTGTGCGCTGCTTTTGGGATCTGCGTGCGCAGTGAAGTCCTCCGCCGTCTTGCAGCCCAGCAGGGCGCTGAGGTCGCGGCCCAGCGAGGACAGGGACAGGGAAGTCCGCGGGAGACAGCAGACCCCCGGGCCGCCTGAGTGTACCGGGGGCTGACAGAAGCCACCGGAGGACAGCGGCGCCTGAGGGTCCTCGGCGTCCTCGAACACACTTCCGAAGCCGGGGAGGGTGAGCTGGACGTCCGGAGGGCCGAGGTCGGGGGGCCACATCTCGGCCCCCTTCTCGCTGACGTCCAAGGGATCTTCTGAGTGGAATCGATGATGCTGATTATCCGACAGACTCTTTAGGAGCCCATTTGAGGTAAAACCACCGACCGGCGTCTTTCACTTCTCGGGCGTAATGGAATCAGGTCCGATTCCAGCGGTCGGCATCGCCTCGTGTTCAGCGAGTGTAACCTGCGCTCACTTGTTCCAAACTGCTGAGTGGTCAGCTGTCATCTCTCCAGCTGCACTGCGGGAGACAGAAACCAAACCTGGATGAGTCATCTGAGCGACGAGCAGATAACACACGAGGCACAGGCAACGCACGTTCTGCAACACACCACACAACAGCTCTGGAAACCAGCGGGGGGGAGAAGTAACTGGATCCTTTCCCGAAGGAAATATACCAATGCTGAAAAGATACAAACGTTCATTGTATTAAAAATACTTCAACTGCACCAACGGAGCAACATCTGATTATTTCAATGTTGGGTTCTTGTTTCGTCCAAAACTCAAAGACATTACATCCACAGCAAAGACAAAATGCATATCGAGGCGACTCCCACAAAGTAAAGGATCTTGGGACTTTTTCCAGCCTCTGCAGCAAATAAACAACATTTATTTCAGACGTCCAGTTGTGCTCCCCACGAGCCCGTAAACGGTCCGATGTTTAAAATACCCCTTCAAGTACAGTGCTTGAGTAAATGCACATTTCACATTCCAGCGCTCACGCGGGATTTCGTTTTTTTTTTTTTTATCCGCGTGTCATACAATGATCACGCGGCGGAGTTTTTCTCAGACCGTTTGTTAACACCACACCCCGAATATGTGCTCCTCCTCAAAAGTTATCGCTTCATTCCCCCTGTGTGGTCCCCCCCCTCCCACCCCCCCCGACGGGGGCCGATGGACCAGCGGAGGTGACCATCGGGGGACGGTCCCGGACGAGAAGGGAAACCAAAAACACACGGCCTCATTCCCGACCTTCTGGCCCCGCGGGCTTCCAGCGAGCGGCCCGCGTTGCGACGCTGCAGCGGGTGTATATTTAGTCCCCCCCCCACACACACACACACACTTTTGAGCTGCTGTAAAAGTCAGGGCTGATTCATTGCAGCGGGCATTAAGGCCTCCCCTCTGCGGGCCGACAGCCAGTCGTTGTGGCAGCCGATTGCCCCGGAAACCTGGTCCAGATGCCTGGTGACAGAGGACGAGTAATGGACAACGTCTCCGGTGCTGCAGGAGAGGTCAAACAGAAGCTGCCACACACACACACACACACACACACAGTGCAGTCAGTCATCAGACGGATTTAATGGGATCGTTATTTTACGACGCGATGAGTAAGTTCTTCTTCTGTAGTTATATTAGCCGACAAAGGAGTCGCTAAGTGTAGGTTCACGGCCAAAGTTTCCTGGTATCGTCTGGTTTACAGTTTTGGGACTTTTCCCGTAAAGCCATGAGGCCTGTGGCGGAGTTTTAATTAGAGAGGTTGCGACGTGTCTGTGTGTCAACAAGCGAAACAGCACCGATGAGTCTCGGCTATTTCTGAAACATGATTTTTGCAACCCGTTTGTTTTGAGGGATAAAAAAGACAAAATGCGAATAATCACTATATACAGATTTTTCTATAAACGAACCACGTGTCGTCATCAACTCCGACGGAGTGAAATCGAGCAGAACATTCAGCAAAAAGGGGGATTTACTTCAGCATTGTCTGCACACAAAGAACTGGTGCTAATCCAGAACGACGAGTCAGGCAGTAAAACCAAGAGAAGTGTCCCACAAAGCCGGGACCGGGCAGCGGGCTGTGTGGAATAGCTGGCTCATCCCACGTGGCGTCTTTCAAGACTCACTCGCTGAGGTTAGCTAAACACAGCTGTGGCATTTTGGGACATGCGAATGTGGACTCGTCTCAACAATAAGCGCTTCGCTTCTTGAATTACAAACTTTTTTTGGTGCTTTTTGGTTCAAGCGAAACGTGAGCGTAGAATCCAGTTTATTCGTCTTTTCCCAAATAGTCTTCAACGGAATCTCATTCTTTTCATCGGCTCATCAAATGTGTGCAAAGGCATCGGGAAAATGTGCCATTGTCATTCCGTATGCGTCCTGTGTGCTTGAGAGGGAAAATAAGTGTCGTAAATGCTGCTGGTTTAAAATGAACGTAACGTATGCCAACCCCGTTTTATAGGTAGAAATCCCCGCGGCGGCAGCGCGTCTCAGCCCCGGGACAACGTGTTTGCAGGATGAACAAACTCTCATGAATGTGGCTGGCCGACCATGAAAGGAAAGCTGTGAATTGCAAAACTCGTTTCACAACTGTCGCTTGTGTTTTTAATCCCAGGAACAGGGCGAGTTGGCCGGCAGGAGAGTTTATGCTTCTCTAAATAAGTTGTTGCCTGCAGGCATTCATTTTCAAAATAGGTTAATCCTGTGCAACCACTTTGTGGGCTACGAGTGTTCCAATAAATCAAAATTGACTACTTTCTGGCTATTATCCTTTGTTTATTCAGAGGAAATTGAGTGAGCACAGCGGCCTGCTTCACTTTCTCACACTCACACACATTCACACCTCGGAAACTTGCAGGAAGACTGCAGTTTTCTACCGGGGGCGAATCACTGCGCGGTTTTAAAGATTAAACAGAGGAGTTTTTGTAGAAAACAGTATAATAAAGTAATGAAATTACAATCGTCTACACACATCGGTCCACTGAAGCTGCGTCGCACACTATTAATCACATAATAAGGATTTTTTTTAAAAGAAGCGAAGCTCCGTCTGTTTCCTCCTACGACGGCAACTCGCTTAAAAGTGGCTCTGATTGTCCGGCTGATGTTCTCACTCATCCACCACCTCCTCTTTATCACAGCACCGCGCGTTTTGACCACCGCCCAGTTTACTCCACCTTTCCTCCATCAGACGGACACGGAGCGAACGCGCACGTCCTCCCCATTGAACGCGAACCCGTGTGCTGCAAATCCTACATGAATGTCTTCCATCCAGATCAAACACACGGCTGAGTCGGGAGCACGATCCCGCCAAGGGACCAACAGCTGGAGTTTCTGTTCGGAATAAAGGCGCAGTACAAACAGCAAACGCAGAGGAGTTGTTTCTAAAAACAGACTGTACGAGCATTGAAGCATTTATCCACCCTGAGGGAAGAGGCCCGACCTGCGGGCCGTTCCATTACAGGTGATCGACGCCCTTTTTTTTCCCCGCCAAATAACTGAACCGAGTGCAAAGCGATTCGTGTGAATTACGTTACGTTACATTACATGTCATTTAGCGGACGCTTTTATCCAAAGCGACGTACAATAAGTGCATTTCAACCGTAGGGTACAAACTCAGGAGAACAAGAAACAAGAAAGTGCAATTTCCTCAAATAAGCCAATTTACAATTTGCTACAGATGAGTGACGTTACAAGTACAATTTAAGTGCTACAATTACGTTTGAATTAGATAAATGAGATCAAATAAACTGCCGTAGTGAGAAGCGGAGGAATAAAAGTGGAAAACAAACGTCATTAAAAGGGACGTTATATAATTGACACTTGAGGAAATTCATTTGGAGAAGACGAGTGCTGTTAATGCCAGTAGTGATAGTGAGGACCAATAGTCAATAGCACACCTGGGAATTGAGAGTGAATTTATTTTATTATTTCCTCAACTTTTTTTCATGGGGAAATGTTTTTGTGCAGCACCGATTTATGTCGTCCAAGAACATAAATAACACAGAAAAGTGTACAAGTTCTATTGCCTCGTTAATCAGCGTACGTCCAACGTAAAAGACCCATAAAAGTCTGACGGCATCACATCGACATTTTCAGCAAATGGCCAAAAACCATTAAGGCGCTCGCTGCTTGGGAGCAGAGGAGGGACGTCGGTCTGGAGGGACAAAGTCCACACCGGGGACAGATGTTAGCATGAAGGGACCTGTTAGGCCCCCCCGTGATGAAAGGGTTGGCTGCACAAACAAAGCTTTTATGTCGCTCTCGAGCGCAAACCGGGGGGTCAAAGTTGCCGACGACGGCGTTTCGCGGAAAGTAAAAGACAAATCCACGTCCTCGGCGTTTACCCGCAAAGCAAGGAGACAAGTTGTCCCTCGGATGTCCCTTGCATGTCATATTCATCACGTGTCACGGCGATCCACACGAGCCGCCGAGGCGCGTTCGCTGTGGACACGCGATTGTTAAACCCAAACGCTGATGAACGTGCTGGTTGGTAACGTTCGGTGTGTTAACATTCCTCCTTCCATCGTAGCACAGGACGCTTTGTTTTGGGGCCCGGAGGAATCTTTGGCCGCGGAGAGGCGGTTTGGGTCGGAGTGAAACCCGGTGGGAGCAGGTGAATAACACGGGCTCGTGTTGCACAAAATAAGAATGTGTTATTGAATCACCATTCGTGCGTGTCCTGCTTGAATCGCCGTTAACTTTTGACACGATGACCCCCCCCCCCCCCCCGGGCTCTATATGGGGGGACGGGGAATGCTCCAAAAATGTAAAATCTTTTTTCTTCTTCTTAAAATTTTTTTTTCTTCACTGTTTATTTTTACTGGAGGGTCGGGTTTCAGTTTCACCATGAAGGCCTTTTCTTTTCTCTCCAAACGAGTGAGCTTTGATCCGATCCTCCACGTCGGTGCATGTGACACACGGATGAAGAAGAAAAAGTACATTTAAGGAGATTCTGTACTTGAGTACAGTCCTGAGCTACTTTATTCCACTTTATTCTAGTTCTAGTTATTATTATAGTACATTTTGTGCCTCATTTATTTCACAGCCATAGTTGCTTGATATGATCAACATTTTCCCTAAATATATATGACGGTCTTTTAAAATATGATGAATTGGTGTAAATGAATGGAAGCTATTAAAACATGTACATAAAGTGGTTAAAACTGACTTCACCTGGACCACCGCGTACACATCAATGCATCAGAAATAATAAGCCCATTATATTTTTTATTATAATAAGACAGTTTAAGGAGCCATTTGTTTTGCCTGGTGAGCGTTGTCCTTTTTTTTACTTTAATATTTAAGTACCACGGAGCCCAGTGAGGCGGATTCTTGGGATTTTGCCTTCCCCTGAAAGGAGCGGCGAGTGTTTCGGTCCAGCTTTAAATCACGTAAAGCATGTGAACCCCCGGCTGCGAGCAGCTGCCCGGCGCTGCTGGTGGAGGCCGTGGGTGTGTTTACAGCTCGCACTGCGCGGTTGCATCTATGTTGGCGCGGACGCGGTGGCTGTATATATTGTGAGCGCGC